TCTCTAACAGTTTGGTGACCCCAGGTCACTTCGAAACACAAGTAACACACATATTTAGTATCTACTATTATCTCCTTTCCCTTAAGAACTCAACATTCACTTAGGAGTCATGCACTGTATAAAACCATACCACTGCTTCTCTAATAAAGCCTAACTGTGCAATTTTCTCCTAGGTTAAATGTTATCTATTCGAACAATAAAAATTTTTGGCAAATTTTTGCCTTATGACCATTAGATAGAATTAACAATCATAGAAAATAGGTATTTATTTCTTATGATGATCAGCTCCATCCAGTGGTCATAACGCAATATTTTTTTTTTTATTCACTCTGTTCTGCATGAATGAATAACATTCGTACTGAAGAGAAAACAGCCTAATACCAATGGATGTTGCCCCCATTTGTGCAAAACAAATGCACATACAGTTTCACGGGATGAATAGCTCTGAAGAATGGCCCTTACATCCCTTACTGTGAGATCTGTCTAAATGCCTCTCTGGGATTTTAGAGATGGTAAATTGGAAACAAAATAATCAAAAAATTAAATAACTCCTATTGACGCACTAGAGAGGATGAAACATTGTAGAACTTTACTTATTGGCTGTATTAACTAGGACCTTCTGTACTTCGGTTCTGGGTCGTATGACCTAAACGTGTTATTCAACATACAGTCATTAGACTGGAAATACAAAAGAGAGTTGTATATTACTTGGAATTATGAGTTTCTAAACACATATGTGCATCTGCTAGCTCAAACGGTTTTGAATATGCTTCAAGATGTGCTGAAGCTTACTAAAAGGAAAAACTACTAGCAGCATTTGAAGAGCCTGCATACATGGGTGTTGTTGCTGAACACTGCCCTTTCCATTTGAACTCAGCACTATTCCAATGTACACGTTTGAATACAAAATGCAGCAAAAGCCTGCATTTGACCTACTTGCCTGCACTGCAAATAAACCGCAGAAGGAACTGCTGTTTGCAAAGAAATGCAACCCCATGCAAACGCATTCTCAGGACCAGGGGTGGACTGACAACTCATGGGGCCCCTGGGCAATAGGGGGATTCTGGCCCCTTTGTCCTCTCCAACACCCAAAAAAGCCTATGAAAAAGCCAATGAAAGGTACCAAGGGCATCTCATGGTGCTCCCTACTGACCACGGGCCCTCGGGCAGTGCCCGAGTGCTCGAATGGTCAGTCCGCCCCTGCTCAGGACTGTCATCACACCACTCTATTAAGGTAATTGGTCATTTTAAATCACACATCAAACCCAAGTCAGCACACTCCCACTTACGTGGAGATGAAGGGTGCATTAAAGTGTTAGTAAACCCAGGACCCGGCATTCACTATATGTGATCATATAGAACATGGAATTACAATTATTTTAGTAAATATAAACTGCTAAATATCGGCTGTAGACATCCTGACTCTTGTGGTGGAGGAGGCTAGAGCGGGTTGCAAAAGACCTTTTAGGCCAGGCCTGGAGTGAGGCTATCTCCCTGAAGAACCTGGGAGAAGTGTATCCTAGCCAGAGGTCCTGTCTCAGGAAGGCTACCTGTAAGGAGCTGTGAACTGGTGTGATGTTACTGTAAAGCCGACATAAAGTGTTACTAAACCCACAACAGTAAAATGAGTCTGTATATGCAGTAAAGCATGCTTGTTATACTCACTGTGGAACCTAAGGGGTTAATCCTCCGCATTGTGTAAAAAGGATGTTTGATCCTGTCTTCTCTGATTCTCCCCTTCTTCCACTGTCCCCAATCCATCTGCTGATAGAACAGAGCCTTAGGGGCAAGCTGCACATGCTCAGTTTGGTGTGTATTGCTAGAGAGGTTTTTTTTTTTTTGTTCCTTGGGAGAGTGCATGTGATCAGCACAGGGCCAATCAGCACTTTCCACCCACATGAAAGAAAAATATATTCGAAATATATTTTTAAAATATTCCTCCCAAATATATTGACATTTATTTGAAATGCTACAATTTTGGCCATATTCAATATATTTCAAAATTATTTTAAAAATATATTTTATATTTATTTATTTTATATTTATAAATATATACTGCTCTAAATGCGTTTTTATTAAAAAATATATGAAATATATTTTTTAAAATACATTTGATATACTGTATGTCAAAAATACAAATCTACATTTTTGGAATTTTACAAATATGTAAAAACACCGATGAGTCACAAGACTGCTCTAACTGCTGATGAGAAAAGGTATTTAGCAGTTTTTATTTACTAAAATAATTACATTTCCATGTTGTGTGTACTGTGGGAGACCAGATATGAAGGTCAATTGCCAAGAATGTTGTGAGAAAGTCTCTGGCAAGGAGGTGGGCACAAGATGGCAGAGGGTTAAAACGTCAAACAGGAGGGTTGTTCTAGTAAGAAGAAGGGAACAGGTACTTGTACTCTTTGGCGCCAACTCTCAGGCATTTACAAGTCCCCTTACTCATTAGATAGTTAAATATTTATAAAGATATTATAAACCTATTCAGTTTAGAAAACATTTTGTTGTATAAGGGAAGCCAGTCAAATATCTGAATTTATATTTATTTGAAATTTCTCTCCTAAATAAATAAATAATTGTCCAAATAATGCAACCTTATTTTATTTATAATTTTTTTTATAAATTATAGGTTTTAACAATTTTCACTCAAGATTCACACATTTTTTGTATCTTAGTGAAAAAAATTGTGACAGATGTGTGAATCTTCGGTGAAAACACTAATAAGTAGATGGGTAGACTTACTGCTTGGCTTAATGTGACCCTGTACCTTACTCTGCAATCTGCAAAGCACCCAGCATGAGAAGAAACTGGATATCCACCTATCTGGTGGGATTTGTCTACCAGAGGAAGCACAGTGGCCAGTGGGAAACAAGAACAAGAGAGTGAAGTGTCAACATTCTACATACCGGAAAGTTGAGTATTCAGCCTTTTCTTCTACTTTCTGAATTACCTGAATGGGTAAGCAACAAGGTCACGTTAAGCCCCTCACTGAGCCTACTCTAAGAAGGTAAGATTACACTATTATGAAATTTAAAGTGGAACTGAACTCAAAAGTTAATATTTGCTATGTTATGTTGAATTTACAAATGTTATTGTGTCTAGTCAGTGAAAAATTTATCTTTTGTCTGGAATTCTAACTGAAAAATAGCAGTGCACTTCCCGATATGTGTGCCTTAGAACTCCTGAGCCTGCGGCCTCATTGCTGTATATCTGCAGCGTGAGATCTAAGACAATGCTGCCTCTGACTGCTGGTCTTAAGGAATTTAGTGATGTCACTACTGTGCTGTGCTGCTCACTGTTTTCTTTGTTGGAGACTGACAAAGTTCTGCCTCTAGCAAGATGACTGCCTTAACCCAAAGTGCAGAACAATATGGGGGATATTTACTAAAACTGGAGCACCCAGAATCTGATGAAGCTGTGCATGGTAGCCTATCAGCTTTAGCAATAAAACCCAAAAGCTGGTTGGGTTCATGCACCAGATTTTGCATGCTCTAGTTTTAGTAAAGAACCCCCTTTGTTTTTGAACCAGAAGAAGCACCAAATGGATATTCTTGGAGTCTAAATGCTTTTTTTGTAATATACAACAGAAGGCAAAAAGCAGCCATCTCATTTTGGGGGTCAAAAAAATTCCCCTTCATCAGGGCTTCAAGAAATAGAAAAAAATGGAAGCTATATACTTAAAAAGAAGTAAAACAACAAAACCATGAGCGATACCCATGACTAGACCTTTGCCTTCTGCCTGTCTTTTTTTGTGCACTGTTTCCAGAATTCAGTTCCTCTTGCATTTACAAGAGAGCTTATTTCTACTGATTTTAAGGCTTTTTTATTTATTTTTTACACACATTTTTGTGCAAGTGTATTTGCATATGTTTCAAACTGCAAGTATGTATTTCATTGGCTAGGCAAGGAGAGGAGAGCAGTTTTAGAGAAAGGGAGCAATTTTTTTCCCACCATAATTTCTGCGTTCCTGATGCATGCACTTTTTTAATGTGTTCCAGTGCATTTTGTATTGTGTTTTTCACCTTTATTTTCTTCATCTCAGTTGAGGACACTTGAGTTCCAGTGGATCTTTTATGCGTTTTTCCGTGTTTTAGATGTGTTGCATACAGAAAAAATACAATATGATCTACTTTTCTTGACTGCACTGGAACGCCCTGCACTGGTATGAACCTGGGCTTTTGGAATCCATGTTAAACACTGTCCATGTATTCTTTATGCGGAATAAAAATTGACTGGACTGGTGTGAACCAGCCCTCAGGACAAAAATTCATGCAAACACATGCGTTGCACATTTACAGGTACACCCATTGTAGTCCATGGGGGATGTATGGCATAGATCAACTGAGCGTACAAATGAGGACAGAGACAATTAGAAAGAATGGGATTCTCTATGTTCAGTGTAGTCAGGCATAAAGAAACAAGTTGTAAAATGCTCAAGTGTGAATGGGGACTAAGTGTAGATTCAAATAATTACAATAAAATGTAAGAGGCTGTAGTGAGCGTGGATAAAGTGTGACTCAGTTCAATATACAGTTACAACAAAAGAAAAAAATTGCCATGGGGACTTTATGAGGTACACAAAGTATAAGGATATTTAAAAAATAAAATTTTATTAGAAAAAAGACATATTAACAGCTTCCGCGCTGCCCTATAGCAGAAATACTGCTACAGGGCAGAAGGGCTGTGCAAAATCATGTATATATACATGATTTTGCATTTCCAGGTATGGTGTGCGCACCATTGGCAGCCTCGGCTATTTGTCATTGGCGGCCTCAGCTGTCGATCACTAGGTCCAGGCTGGCACCCAGCGATCGCCAAGTATCACTGACAGGGCAGAGATCTGTATGGAATTAATGCAGATCTCTCCCCTATCAGCTCCTGCACACTGCTTTCTATGGCTCTGCATAACAGAGCCATAGAAAGCATTGTGCTTACAGTGTAAAGCACACACACAGCACACAGTAAAACAGCACACAGTTAACCCTTTGATCGCCCCCGATGTTAACCCCCTCCTGCCCAGTGCCTTTAATGCAGTGTCAGTGCTTTTTATTACCACTGATCACTGTATTGGTGTCACTGGGGATGTCAGTGACAGTTAGCTAGCCCCCCCCCCCCCCCCCAGTGTCAGAATGCTTGCCGCAGTCCCACTATAAGTCGCTGATCGACGCCATTACTAGTAAAAAAAAATTTTAAATTCCAATATATATACCACCATTTGTAAACACTATAACTTTCACGTAAACTAATTACTTTACACATTTTGGGATTTTTTTTTAGCAAAGATGTAGCAGAATACATTTCGCCCTAAATTTGTGATTTTGTAAATTTTTTTACTGGACATGTTTAATAGTAAAAAGTCAAAAATATTGTTATTTTTTTCAGAAATGTCTTTTTGTTTATAGCGCAAAAAATTTAAAAAACGCAGAGGTGATCAAATACCACCAAAAGAAAGCTCCATTTGTGGAAAAAAAAGGACATGAATTTCATTTGAGTGCAGCGTAGCATGACCGCGCAATTGTCAGTTAAAGTAATGCAGCACCGTATCGCAAAAAATGGCCTGGTCAGGGGAAGTGGGGGGTAAATCCTCTGGAGGGCAAGTGGTTAAAAACATGCAAGAAATCAGTATAAAAACATATGAAACTCATAATATATCCACTGTGTTTAAAGATGTCATTGTCTGCAGATAATTGTAAACTTGGATTTACAAACCAAAAGCTTTCAAAATAATGCTCCTAACCCTCTTGTATTGAACTGTGTTGTTGCTGTATTGTCTCCCTTTATATTGTAAAGCGCTGAGCAAACTGTTGGCGCTATATAAATCCTGTATAATAATAATAACATGTACAAATAAAAACATTCACACATACATAATCTGTATGACCAGTATGTTGCATGAAACAAGTTCTTTACAAAAGATCTCAATGCGTTTCGTGAAGCAGCATTCACTTCTTCAGGACAGGAGATAACAAAACGTGTAAATATACCAATGAATGGTATCTAAAGAGAGATCAGGTCGTTAGTGGAAAATAAAGGGGGAATGCTTACCACGAAGTCAATGTATGTCAAAAGCTGATGTAAAGCAAACAAAGGGCTGGAGGTTCGCCTGGAGAAAACAAGTGATTGACTAGGAGGACAACCAACCAGCAATAACCATCCTGGCCAGGAGCTGTGAAAAAAACGTCTCAGCTAGCCGGGGGCATACAGCAAGAGATGCAGAAGGGAACTGCCAATGTTTAGACACCAAAGGCGAAAATGAAGAAGTGAGAAAATAAAAAAACACACTTGTACTAAACAAAAAAGAAAGACTGTTTTTTCTATTGATTTTTCTTTTCTTCAAATAATTACAAATTGCCATTTTTATATGACAAAATATTGTCCTACATGTTCAATCATATAGGTGTCTGCAGTCTAATTATCTAGTAATCCTATATATGGTGCAGGTAATATACGGATACAATTATTACAATTTGCAGGAGATAATAATCTGTTGGTGCATTACTGTCATTATACCTATACAAAAGGAAAAATAAAATCTGGTGTATAAAGTGCATCTGTTGTAAATAGACATTGAGCATCAAAATACTTGACGCATGGTGAAAGACACTAAGCAAATAATACCTCATTCCCCATTCATCCCTCTCTTCTTTCCCTTCACTTTGATCATCCCCCCCCCCCCCCCCATATTTTCCTGTCTCCTCCACACCCCTTGGGAAGGGATCAGTTCATCGTGTATTCTGGAGGCATATCACTTTTCCCCTGAGTGAGGATGATGCTCCAGAAACCTATATCCAGAGAGGACACTGCAGGAAGGCGGAGGGAGGTTGGGGCACTGTCATTTACATTCAGATGCAGTGACACTGGAAATCCTCCCAGTTCTGCAAGGACAGATGACTCTACCTGCTCCGTGGCAAACTGTCCAACTATGTGACAAAAGAACCAATTAAAACAGCCACTGCTCCTTCTTCGTCACTGGCCAGATTGTACTGCTTAGTTGGTTAGCTAGAAACAAGGAGCAATTGATGAAATTTGTTCTATTGGTCCCTGATCTTCAGGAATCTTACATTTTCCTCTTAAATAAAAGGGAGCAAACCTTTCACTGAGACATGTTCTAAAAAAAAGTCACTACTTAACTTTTGGATCTAACATTTTCCAACAGTATACTTACATACTGTTTTTTTTTAAAGGGATGTACCCCTTGCTCTATTCAATTTGCTCCAAGTACTTTTGTTATTTTCATTGTTCAGATTTAGCAAATAATTCAATAAAACCTTTGAACAAGTAAGAAAAAAAAAAAAAATGTCACCCAAGTCAGGAAATTAAATCACATCATTCGCAGTTCCAGGACCTGGGAGCTGCTCGTCAATATCCAGCAGTGTATGTGATAATTAGGTAATGGTGGCTCGTCTGCAATGTCAGTTTAACCACTTGCCCTCCAGACGATTTACCTTCCTTCCTGACCAGGCCATTTTTTGCGATACGGCACTGCGATACTTTAACTGACAATTTCGTGGTCATGCAATGCTGCACCCACATTAAATTTATGTCCTTTTTTTCCCACAAATAGAGCTTTCTTTTGGTGGTATTTGATTGCCTCTGTGCTTTTATTTTTTGCGCTATAAACAAAAAAAGCTGACAATTTTGAAAAAAATATATATATTTTTGACTTATAAAACATATCCAGTAAAAAACTGTAAAAAATCAATTTCGTCATAAATTTAGGCCAAAATGTATTCTTTGACATGTCTTTGCTAGAAAAAAAATCCCAATACGTGAAAATGAATTGGTTTACATGAAAGTTATAGCGTCTACAAATGGCGGTATATAAACTGGAATTTTTTTTTTTAATACTAGTAATGGCGGTGATCAGCGACTTACAGCGGGACTGCAGCGGGCATTCTGACACTGGGGGGAAACTGACTAACTACCACTGACATCCCCAGTGGCACCAATACAGTGACCAATGCTAATAAAAAGCACCGCAAACGCAAGGACAGATGACTCTACCTGCTCCGCGGCAAACTATCCAACTACGTGACACATGACGTTAGCCCACTGTACTAATGACACTGGGAGGGAAGGGGTTAACTTCTGGGCCAATCAAAGGGGTTAACTGTGTGCCGTGTGTGTTTTACTATGTTTGCTGTGTGTCCTTTACTATGTAAGCATGCTGCTTTGTTTTGCTCTCCTGCGCAGAGCAATACAAAGCAGCATGCTTGTGCTGATAGGGGAGAGATCTGTATTTTTTACATACAGACCTCTCCCCTGTCAGTGTTCCTCAGCGATCGCTGAGGAATCTACGTCCGGGACCTGGAGATCGACAGCTGTAGCCGCCAATGGCGGCGCGGATAGGGCGGTGTGCACGTGCCCCCTAACTGGAAATACAAAATCACGTATATATACACACGTGATTTTACACAGCCTTGCTGCCCTGTAGCAGGACTTCTGCTATAGGGCGGAGGTGAAGCAGGCAAAGAAAAGGAAGTGAGAACTGTCATGATACTTTTTTTTTATTTCCACATTTTCAGGACAAGCTTTTGGGATGTACCCCCTTCTTTGAGGTACAAGCAGTAATAATTAACACTGATAAGAATCATGGACAGTACTCAATTGTTTTTGTAACAAGTGCACTAATATGGCTACAATCACTTAATGAAAAGGAGACATCCACCATAGTCTATCTGCCAATGAACTGGTCATGTAATGTAATCCGATCCAATTTGGGAAAGACAACCTTTATTGTAATTGTATTGTTTAATCAGGAAGGGTGTACAAAGAGCCAGGCCAAGGAGCCAAGGAGACCTTTAAAAAAAATCTAATTTACTGATATCAGATTTTTTAAGGTGATTTCTGATAGGTTACTGCGTTCTTATGCATTTACCAGCCAGACACCAGTGAAAGAAATAATAAAAAGTAACCTCTCCTTGGCAATATCTCAAAATTATGCAGATCTGAATCAATATTTAAACAAAAAGGTCTGCCAATGTCAAACGACAGAGGTCTACTACATTCTACTGGATGTCAACTGTCAGATAGTCATTATAATGTAGTCTTTGGAGGACAGTAGGTGTTCCAAGGTGTCAGGTACTGGCTAGTAGATTAGCTTCTCTTAAACTGGTCATACACCGGTAGAATTTTGTTCCAAGGTTCTTGCAGAAATTTAGAAAAATTATTTGTCAGATCATTTCATAGTACCATTATGGACTCAACAAATTCCGTATGAAAACCCAGAACATTTTTATTTGATTGTCATGCCAATGTTTCAAGTTCTGCACATTTCATTTGTTTGAGAAAAAAAATAATTATTTAATTTTTCTTGTCACAATGAGTGAAAAGGGTTTAAATTAAATTCTACTGGTGTATGGCTGGCTTTACACTTTAAATAGATAAACGCAGTGAGATATGCATTGTGTGCACAGCAGTCCAAGTATACCTGCCCCCCACCTCTGTGTCCTGTACATTACTACTTGGAGTTTTGGAAGCTTCGACCACATAGCTGCTGTGGGATGAAACAGATGGCACATGGGATGTACATGGAAGCAACCCTTGGCTTTGCCATCAGCAATGTCCTTGTGTTACTTCTGGGCAAAATAAAGGCCAGTCAGTAAATGGGGGAGAACAGTAAGGGGGAAGGAAACCATGGAAGGGGCACAGTAATGGGGTAATGAAGGTAGGGTGTAGGGTAGGGCACAGAGTGTCTGAGATACAAGCTGCAGTGAAGATATAGGCTGTGTAGCGCTTGCCCCCAAAGGATCCGCTCTTTTCTCAGGTCCCCTGTTCCCAGTGCACATGACTCTACAAGTGGTACCATGCTCTCCGACACACCTGGACTAAAGAGTAGATATTTATTGCAACAATACATAATAATACACAATTATGGAATAGCCAGGAAAAATAGAAAATCACTGTGAACACTGCAACAAATACTTGCAACAGCTGTAAAAAAAATAAGTACACAAGTATTAATAAATAGTCGGACCTGTGAATGACCCCTAATCCCTATACTAGGGAAGGTCCTGTTCAAGGGGTGGTGCTAGGACAATGGTCCGGCAGTCTTTGGCAAACCCCCCATACTGGCCAACACTCCCCTACTGTTG